TTATCTATTTGTGTTTACTTTCCCTTCGCCATAAGGCGACAATCGCTGCCATCACCATCATCATCATCATCATCATCATCATCATTGGCATTTCGACATCACCATTTTGGGTCCTCGGGTGCCTCGTAATCCAAGGATGATGATACTCCCACAGCTCGGCGAAACTAAACTAAATCAAAACCGAAATCGAATCGAATTTATTGTCATCTCCATTTTGCGCCTCAGATTATGCCACAGATTCCGTCCTTGGGTTTCAATTTCGGTGTGAACTTTCGCTCTTGGGTTCACAGCAACTTGGAGTTGTTTTTCGCCAGTTGTATGCCCTGTAATTGGGGATTAAAAGGGTATGTTGTGTTGATGAACAACACGGAAGGAGTTATTACATCACAAGAATTGCGACTAAAAGTATGCATTAATTTATTTTAAGAAATATATTTTTCACTGCATACTTTTAGGCACCTTTATAAGTGATTTCAAAGCACTAAAAATGTATTTCTGCGTTTTATAAATGTTTAATTTAATTCTAAAAATTCAAATAGCCCTCAAAAGCAGACTATAAATCTATAAACCTTACAGGATATCTGAAACTCGAATATACAACTGATTTTTCCTGGGGATGATGGTTACGCTTGGCCTGAAGCTACAGGTTATGATGATTGCTGCTGCTCTGTGTTTTGTCCTCTGTGCTTTGGCATTTTGTCTGCGTTTTGTTTCCGCTTCGCCCCCGCAATTTCAGCTGATTGTTGTGTTTTCGACCAGCAGCTGCAATCAAAAATACATCATTTGGAGCAGGAGTCAGACGAGGAGCCCTGTGCCCCCGTTTAGCTTTCGATTTGGCTTGGCTTTTTAGTGGCAAACTGATGCTGACATGGCGGCTAACCCCGAAAGGACTTCACTTTCTCCAGCAATTAGTCGGGGTGAAAGTTAAGTTGCATGTTGCATGCGATTGGTGAAATTAAATTTCCACCTAATTGTTTGAGAGGAGGCCATAACCAAGCGAAGTGCGTGAGTGGGTGGCAGGCAGAAGCCGCGAATCAACTGCCAGCTAGTTGGTTTCACCGGCTTGGCTTGGCTTTTCCTGCAGCTGGCGTTGCTCCGTACGCCCAGACAGAATCGCTGCAGTTGACAGCGGCTGCGTGCGGCTTTTCATGCACCAACCTATCTCTACTCCCCCCTGTTTTACCACCCACTCGAGGACCCCTCGGTGAGTGCGTGTTTGTGGGCGTTGCATTGATTTTATGGGCTTGCACATTTCATCGTCACAACTTTTTGTTGCGTCTTCTGATTGCGGCTTACAATGCGTCAGATGCAATCATTTTGTTGCCTGTCTGGTTGCGGTTTTCCGCTGTGGCCACTGCAGCCAGCAAATGCATCAAGATTCAGTATATAAATTATAATATTTTATACTTGTTTACAAATAACTTGCTCTGATTTTAAAGTTCCAGCGTCCTGATCACATAATTATAATTTTAAACATTAAAGAAAATATCCTTCCTATTTGATTTTACTAATAAAGGTGTCGAAAAGTATGCTGTGAAAAAACGTTGGCTTGCGGATTAAATATTTTGTTGCATACTTTGTTGCACCTTTAAAAGTGATTTCGAAAAACATAAAAAATCCGGATTAAAACGGGATACGCGAGCTCAAAGGATTTTATATTCCAAATACGAATCTATTATTGCTCAGTTAAAGTTTCATTCAAAAGGCTTACATATTCAAATATTTGCACACAAATGGTAAAAAAAAGTTGTATTTTGCTTTTCGAATTTATTACTTTACCTGTAAACAAATTCAACAAATTAAGTTGTCAATGTCCCAGTTTCATTGTTTTTTGCTCTCTCCTTCTTCTTTGACCTCACATATTCCGACTCGATTTGTGACGAAAAAATGGGAAATGGAAAATACAAAATAATAGAAGGACAAAGAAGGGCAAATTTGTTTTTGATAGAAAGTCATGTCAAAAACAATGTCCCAACTATTGTGTGTCATCCTTTTTTTTTGTCGAGGGTCGATGGTCCAGGGAGGAGGGGCACTTGAAAATTGCGCCACAGAACCGTTGAGTTCCAGTTGACCCTCATCAAAAGCTAACTAAAAACTTTTCGTTTTACTTTAGTTTTTATTCCGATTCTCTTCCTATCGCTCCCCCGCATAGATACATCTATGGTACTATGGCACTTTGGTGCTATATGTGCGGGTATCTCCGTGTGTGCATGATTTTGTTGTTTTTGGTCTCTTGGCCAAAGTGGAAAATAAATGGTTCCACAGGATGACCATTTGCGTGGTCTGCATGTCAGAATGTGTGTCAGTTACAGTTGAGATAAAAATAATAGAATTTATATTATAAGCCTAATTTGTAAAAATTCATAATTTCAAATCCAGCAAAGTAAAGATTTTTATACGATATTACAATTTATTTAAAATAAAAACTGAAATTACTTTAAAATGTTTCTTTTATATTTGTATTTATTAACTAGTATTTTGTCCGCTGCTGTATGTGTCGTATAAGCGTTTCTTCTACCGTGTATGGTCAAAAAGTTGAAAGCCGAGCGTCACTTTTTGCACAATCCGAAACAACAACAACAACAACATCTGTGGCCAAAACAAAAGTCAAAAGGAAAGTCCAAACAAAAAATCCAATAGAAATTTAAACAGTTTGACGCATTAAATACTCATTGGGCAAGTTGCCGACTAGGATTTTGGCACCAGGGTGGCCTTTTTGGTTGGTTTTTTTAAGGGTTCTGGGAATGGGGGTGTTATACCCAAAAACCCACAAACGACGAATGGGGATTTTGTGACATACCATATGGAGCTGGTTATATGGTTTTATGTACGAAATAGTCACGTCTGTAAGTTTTGCCATATTTGACTGAACAACTTAATTACAACTGAATTGCTATTCACAGACATTTTTTGAGGTTTTTGGGTAAATAAGAAATATTTGTAATTAAAAGTTATGTAAATGTTGGTCAGAAGACATTTTTAACTAATAAATTCCAAAAGACTATGACTGTTTATTAAATATTTGAATGTAATTTATTTTTATTTATATTACTTTTTCTTTCAACCATATCTTCCTTTCTGATTGCGGTGGTATTAGTTCCACTCCATTGCCCTGAATAATACGCACAAATCTGTTGAATGTCAAGGGGCTCAGTTGGTTAAACTTGAATCTGTGAAATCCATATTTAATTATGGAATTGCAGGCCTTCGCCCACTTCTCAGGGCAGTTAACCCCTTACCTGACTGCCTAGACTTAATTAGGATTCCGTGCTCATCCCGATCATAGTCATAGTCATCATAATCATCGGAGCTCTGTGTTTGGGGCAGACGGTGTCAGAAGTGCCACTTCATCAGTCAGTATCGAGGCTGCCAAAGCACCACAGCCACCGGCAGTTGTCCGCGCCAACTGTTTTCCAACTTCCCGCCCATCGCTACACTTAAAGAATGGGAGTGCTAAATGTTGGAGGATACTGAATTAAAAATGGTTAGTAATTTAAAGTTATAGCTAGAAAATATCAAACCTTTCGTATTCAGAAAAGCATAATTCTTACAAAATAAATATCCTTTTCAAACTAAGAAAACATTTTTTACCAATTTTAATTGTTTCCTAATGCTTATGTTTTTTTAATAGTGAGGGGTGATAGTCAACATAAAGTCTTTAAAAGGAAAGTTAAAAATCCAAATTGCTAATATTATTTTTAGTATCAATATTATTATTAGTTTGAAAATGAAAAAAATTTGAAATCGAAATAGATCTTTGATTTGATTTGTTTTATTGATTTTTCTAAAAGAACGTTTTTAAGGGAAGGTAAAAATCTAAGTGAAACATTTTTTATAAAAATTTTCTATAAAATATTTTGTTTTCTAAAACATTTTTAGCTGCAATTATTTGGTGCATCCTTTTGTTGAAGTGCAATTTATTGAAGGGTTTCCCAGTGATGGGGTCGGTCGGTTATGTTTCTGGGATTTTGGGCGAAACCGGGAGTTTGTGTGTGTTTTGGGGCTACTGGGGCTGGGGCTCCGGCTGCCCCTTTGTTTGCACTCCCGACTGACGAGGGCCCAAAGGCGTTTTGCAGATTTCGGCGGACGTGTGTGTGTGTGTGTGGTTTTTGGTGGATTTACTCGAGGGGCATCTGCTCGGCTTAGCGCTAAAATGTGTGTCTACCTGGGCTACATACACCTGTCATATTCGGCTAGCCGTGTGTGTGTGTGTGTGCGGCTGATGGAATTTTAATTAAATACTCGGGTGTCTATGTTAATTTATATGCGCATATGCTTAGCCAGCCAGTCTGCTGCTGGTTTTCGTCCTCGTCCTGGTCCTGGGCAATTCCATTTTCCGTTTTCCACATTGATATGACGAGGACCGAGGACTTTGAGGACTCACCTTTGAAGTGGCTGCGCATGTTTGTGATTAAGAGCCTTTTTGGGGCCCTGCTCCCCGCGTCCTGTTCCCTAACTCAGTTTCATTGTTTAAAATTTAATTATAATTTAATGCTTAGTAAGCACTATTTCTCGCATGAAACTCTTCGTTTGGCCGCCAACCCTTTTTCCACCACCCCTTTTTCTGGTTGCTGCGGTTTTTCCTCTGTCCCAAGCCACTTGATATTATCACGTTGCCATCCGTCGTCTGACTGACTGACTCACCCACTCTATTTTCGGGACCTTTGGCTTTGTCTCTGCCTTTGCTGGGGAATCGCTTTAAGATCTTTGGTTTCGTTGGGCTTTTGTCTGCGTTTTGGCCCCGTCACCTGGCTCTGTTTTCCGAGATGAAACCCAAAAGCGACTTGATATGGAAATAATTTGCCGCGTGGGCTTGGCTTTCTGGAATTTGCGTCGGCAACAGATTGGCATTTTCACATAATGCTGGCTTAACTAATTGCGGTTAAAGGGAATGCGCCTTAAATTGTTGCATGCAGAACAAAATATTTGAAAAATCTAGGGCATTCTTTGGTAAATATATAAATAAAATATAAACAGCCTTTCAATCATTTCATTATTTATTGTTAAAAAATATATTGACAATGCCGTCAATCATTTGATAATCTCTCTCTCCTATCTACAATTTATTTAAGCCTACGTCCTCAGCAATTCTTATTCATTGGTGTCCTTGTGCAGATTCATCTTGGCCAGATTCGACCTGCTGATGGCATGTCCTGGCTGCAGTTCCAAGGCCCTTCGATAGCACTCCACTGCCTCCCTTCGGTGGCCTCGCATCTGCAGGATGGCGCCCAGATTGGCATGGGCGTGGGCCGCCAGTGGTTGCAGGGTGACAGCCTTTCGATACCACAGCTCCGCTTCGGCCAGGCGGTTCACCAGACGCAGTGCATCCGCCACGCAGGATTGCAGGGTATAATCGTTGGGCGCCAAGGCAGCGGCTCTCAGGCGAAGGCCAAGTGCTTCATGATGGCGCTCCTGCTGCTCCAAGAAGTCAGCTAAAAGGGAAAGGTAAAATACCTATTGTTTAATATTTAAAATATTTTATAATTAATAATATTTAAAAAGTAGATGAATTAATAAATTTAAGATCCACATCTTTGAATTTTAATATCAGATTAATATGTGCTGGTTAATATAATATTTTTTAAAGATCAATAAAGGTTATTTTTATCTTATTTTACAATATTTGTTCAAAAAATACTACATTTGGAATTTTAAAACAATATTTTTATAGCTTTTATGGAATGATAAAATATTAAGTTGATATGTTTGAATCATAAATTTGACATTAATCATTTCGGATATTTATTGATAATAAGGTATAGATGACATCGAATTTTTTTCTGTATACCATTTATTTTCAATATGTTTTTCCATATTAACATTAGTTCTATAGCATTTTTCCTTACCATAATGGTGATGAGAACTGGCCTCCAGAGGTGCCAGTTGCAGGGCTCTTTTGAACCAGGACTCTGCCTCCGCAAGTCGACTGCCCTGTAAGTTTCATAAAATATTATTAGGTTTATTATTATAAAGATGACAATTTCTGGCCCTTACATTCCTGGCCAGTGTCTGGCCATAGGTCACATATGCTGCTCCCTGCTCCGGTTGCAATTGCAGGGCCAATCTCTGCTGCTGCTCAGCCTCCTTCCAATCCTGCAGCTCCGCCAGGATTTCGCCGAGACGCAGATGCAGTACAGCCCTCTGCTTTTGGGACAGCAAAGTCAGAGCTTTAAGGGATTCCCTCAGCATCGATGCAGCTTCCTGAAGTCGCCCGTCGGCGCGATGAAGGACACTCAGTTGCAGGTAGCAGGTGTAGCGGGCCTCCTCGTGGGCCCCTCGATCCCGAACCCCAATCCCCTCCAGTCGAGCTCCGGTTCGCAGCACCGAGATGGCTTCTTGCCGATGGTCGCCCAGGGAGATCAGGGATGTGCCCAGATTCAAGTACGCCGCCGCCAGTTGGGGACGTAATCCGATGGCCCGGCGAAAGCAGGGAACAGCTGAGCTAAAGTTGAGTTGCCTCTGGTGCACCACGCCTCTAAAATTGAGGAAAAAATATACTTTAAATTATTACGAAATATTTTACAAACTTTAATTTAAGCTATTCCCCCACTTTAAATTCTTTCGGCAGTCCTGCAATGCACTTGAATTCCCAAGGAACTGCACTTTCAGGAGCACTCTTCGTACTTTTTTGCTCTTCACTCAGAAGAAGTCATAGAAAAAATTGTTTAAAAAATGTGCGAAATGGAAAAGGGAAGCCCAGGGAAAGTTCAGTTACTTAACTCGAGGGATGCAGTGGGAAGTAAATTAACTTGGTGTTTGTTTTGCAGCGGTTTCCACGGACTAATTGCAGAGTGCTGACCTTCAAGTTGATTCTGGCCGGCTTCATTCAATCAACGGCCAGCTCTTTGAAGCATTCAACTCAATTTCAACCATCTCGGTCCCCAAACAAATATCCCGCACATATGCATACGTGTATCAGTTGTCGTCTGGTGGTTATCCCCCGAAAACCCGGATGTCTGAGGCCCCCCGGAATATAAACAACACAAAGTTTCGCCGGATCGTATGCATGGATAAGTGATTCTAAATAAAGGCAGCGTTTTGTGTGCAGCATTCCAAAAGAATGTAACGCTACCAAACAGTGCAAAATAAACCCGGGACCAGATTGCTCCTGCAAACCAGCCACATCTGCAGCAGCAACAAAATAATTCAAATAAAACGGCGAGCTCGGAAATTTTGTGTTGAGTAGCGACAAGGCCATAAAATCAACAAGAGGGCCGATTGTAAAGACTGTTTGTGTATTTATGTGTATGCAGAAAAAATATATTATACTAAATTGAATTCCATATAAATTTCTTGAATATGAAATTTACAAAATCACAGAAGCAATTGACTCGCCGTTTAGTAAAAAAAAATAAAAATGCATGTTATGTTTGGGTTTTAATATAAGCAATGGAAATAAACAAAATTGGATTACTTTTTAGGTATGTATGACTTTCAGTTTATTTATTTTTATTAAATTTCCATAACATGTGAGCTTAAAATATCATAAAATTATCTTTGATTTCAAATATTAAATTACCAAAAAAAAAAATAAAATAAATTTGTTGATTTTGTCGAGTTAAGCAAATATTGAACCCTTTTTAGAAAAACAGAAAAATCGACATTGTCAGCCCGAGATGACTTTTAATATGGGAACTTTTTTCCCCAAAGCCACCCTAGTTTTATTCAACAAATTTGCATACCGAACCGCTTGGATCTGCCGATTAGCTTTTCCACCAGATACTAAACTCTGGAGTGGGTGTGAGCAAACTTTTCAATGAACACTCGCATATGCCGCCGCATGCAGAGCTGAATTTGTTTAAATTCTATTTTCGAATGAGCAGCCATTCGACATTCCATGTTGAAAATCCCTCGTTGCCCACAATTTCACTCCCTATTTTTACATTCACCCCCTTAAAAAAAAAATAAAACAAGCAAAAAGGAGCCAAGTGAATGCATGCGAATTGCAACCGAACAACGCATGGATTTGCTCAACTGAATATTGAGTATTCTATTTTATACTATTCCATTTCGGGCCAAAAGAAAAACAAGCCATGTTGTTCTATTTATTTTGATGTTTTTTTCTTTTTGGTTATTTTTTTCTTCGTGCAGGTAAGCAAACAGCAGCAACTGAACGAAAATAAAACGAGCAGAAAGAGTGAAAACGAGAAATCGAATTATACAGCTCAGTGATTTTTTGGTTTTGGTGTTTGGCTGCCTGTTACTTTGACTTCCCACCTCCGTCAGTGGCAGCACTACCACCCCCTAACTCCCACCACCCCCCACTACCACCCACCACCACTCAACTTATCCTTTGCTGTGGCATTTTGCAGCTAAAAATCAGAGCAGCCTCGCTCGGCACAGGAGCACAACAAATCCCCGACAGTTGACTGGCGCAGCAGCAGCAGTAGCAGCAAGGAGCAACAGGATCCATCGTCGGATGGATGCTTTATGTTCCGGCAGTTGGAGGAGGAGGTGGCACGTGGCGGGAACTGAAAATCCGTAGCCGCAGGGCGCAAGGTGCCGGCTAGAGATACGCCGGCTATTGATGGCTTACGAGTAAATAATGTACAAACAGCTGCTTATCCGCGACGCACTGGCACCCCGGAGCCTTGGAGCCGGGTGGTCCTCGGGGTGGAGGTTGAAGGGCACCTGGCATTGATTTTCGATTAGAAAACGGAAATTCTGACACACCACCCGGGCCATCACAATTTCACAGCCTGGCAAGCTCTTAAAGCTTTCATAATGTAAATGTTTCAATCTCCCTCTTCAGACTTTTAGATTAGCTAGCTGCAGAGTCTGGGAGAAATAACTACTGTAAAATCAACCAGAGTTTTGAAATCACTTAAAAAGGTGTCCAAAAGTATGCAACAATTTGGCTTGAGCACCCTCATTTCAGTTCAATAAACGCAACACTGCATAGTTTGTTCTGTTCTAGTTTTAAAGGGGATTATTAAATTTATAAAAGGCATTTAATGGGCTATATATATTGTGGTTATTTAAGGAAGGATTTATTTTGTTTTAGAATATTTGTTCTTAATTTGAAAAATTGAACACTTCTAGTAAGCAGATTGTTATAGATAATATTTGATAATTTCCCTTCCAGTAATTTTTTACATCTTCCAAAAGAATTCCCTTTAGATTTCCCTATTTCCTTAGTGTAAGTAAGCGGGAGGCCATGGAAAAGAGGCTGCATTCTGCAAGTGGACAGGGCAAAAATTCAATCAGACAACTTTTCGATAAGCTGCAAAGGCAACGCAGGCTTTTCGAACGGGGGAAAGTGGGCGAGAAAAGCGTTTTAAACTTTCCACAGCACTAAAATGAAATCTCTGCCCGGGCTTCCCACCACTTTGGACTTGGTCAGAGGCCAATGTGCCAGCGGCTAGGGATCCGGCTGCGGATCCCAAGCCATTCACCCTCTGCAATCGTCCAACGTCCAAGTCTCTTGTATCGTTTTGAGCCAAGTTAATAACCTGCAGGCCAGCGAAGCCTTAGCAGTTATGAAGTTCGCGCTTTGCTTTTATGTCATTGACATTATTTGAAATTTTATCTAAGCCGTCAACAGTTATATTTTCTTTCTTGTCCCTTGGCTTTTTCATATTTTTTTCAAGGGACTTTCCGGAGGATTATAAGGGATATTGCGGTGCGGCTGGATGTTCTACCCCGGGAGCTTGTTACCCAATTAGAAAGGATAAGTAAATGGAATTTAGCTAGTAATAAGAGTGATCAAAAAGAATTAAAACGAACAGGTCATTTTGCATTAGCACAGCTGTGCTGGAACGTAAGGAAAAGAATCATAATATTATTTTTCCAATAATCTGTTTGCTTTAAATCCCACAGTTTCCTATTTCATTCTTCCCTTTTTAATTCTATTTTTCACGCTTCATCGAGCAATATATAAAATAAATTTTTTAAACCACTCGCTTATTGTTAGAAAACTAAGTCGGGCATAAAAAAATAAACTTCTTGTTAAAAATAATCGTCAATATGAGCATTAATGTAACAGTCTGCCGTAAGCCGATAATCCGCTCATATATAAACACACATTCACACAAATAAGCAGTTTAAAGGGGCGATTTTTTTTTGAGCCAGGACGAGTAAAACAAAATGTTCTGGTTAAATATTTATTTAAATGAGGAAAAACAGAATTACTGGATATTGGGCTTTCGTGGAAACAAAGCGCTTAATACACTCACGAGGTTAAATGCCCCACTGCATTGAAATATTTTCCCCCTCCCGGTTTTTCATAGTTTTAGCATTCACTTTTCCGGAACGAAGGCAATTCGGCGGAGAACGATTATGGGATTCATGAATGGGAGGTAGAAGTACCGAAGTTCCCCAGATGCTGCCATTGTCCGTAGCTCTCGGGAGTTCTCAGCAATTATTTGTATTGGGCTGGGGCTCTGTTCCTCAGCAGCTTTTTTATTCCCCCCGCCGGGAAAAGCTGGAAAAATGACTTGGCAAGCGAGCGAAAGGGGATTTACCTACAATTTGCCAAGGAAGCAAAGCGAAAGGATTTATACTGTGCGTCTTTTGCTCTCCTTTTTTGGAGCGTAAAGCCTATTATGTCAAACACAATAATCAACAACAAGCGGCAAGGCGACAGCAGCAGCAAAGAAGCAGCAGTAACAATAGTGACAACAGGGCGTATGAGCAACGGCTGCTTGCGAGTTTCTGCAAGGACATGCGGCGATTTTGGGGTGAGTGTGAAAAGTGCGGGGAGAACGAGGAGCTCGAGGAGCGGCCGGCAGTGGAAATGACGTCCTGCATATTCAAAAGGAGTGGAACAGTCAGCTCACCAATTTTACAGTAGTTGCTAGACGGAAAAATCACAAAGGACTGCGAAGGCAAGGATATAAATTTTAGGTCTCACTTATTATTTAAACTATATAAAAATATCTTTACAATAGATCTAAATCATTTAACCACATGCTACTTTAAAATTTTCAATGCGGAAAATTTTTGGCTGGTCAGAAAAAATCAATTTCGAAAGTTATATTGATATTGAAGTGAGTACCTACTAGGCTTAAAAATATTAAATGAGGGAAAATACTTAGGAGATTTGCTTCAATCTAAACTTAATTGGCATTCTCCAAAACTCGCCCCTTTAATTTTTGCAATTTCAGATTGGTCGCCATCGTTGATTGCCATATTAATTGAATTCCCCATTACTGCACATATTTTTTGACAAGCATTTCCGCTTTTCTGCCCAGGGTGCCCTTCGATGGGGCGTCGAGTGCTATTCGTTAAGCGTTGGCATGTTTGCGCTTCTCTCGTAATGCATGGTACTGCCCTGGGTTTATCCCCCCTCTTCAGCAAACTGCAGTCAAAATCCCAGGGGAAAATGGGGCTTTCGAGGATGGGGAAGTCCGGGCCCAGCGTTCTCAGTTGGCGGTCGCCGTTAGCGTCGATGCAACGAGTAAATTGCACTATGACTATCCAAAGCTGGCTCCGAGTGTGCCTGCTATATGTCCAAAGTAGAAGTGTCATTGGCCTCGGAAAATGTGGAGAAAGGGGTGAGGAAAAAGCCTGGGAAACGGCTGGGAAATGCGGGGGATAAGGGGCTAAGCAGGATGCCAACGTCATGCGTCAGCAGTTTTATTTTCTCATATTGTTGCATCAAGTGCAGCTTGTAAGCAGAAATGCCAATTTCTCCTTTGTTGTTACTATTTTCCCATTCTTATTCTAGTTCCCATTCCCATTCAGAATCCCATTGAAATCGCAGATATGTTATTGTTGTTATGCTTGTGTAGGACATTATATATGTCGGGGCTTTTGTTTATTTATTGTGTTAGACAAGCGAAATGGTTTCGGAATGCCGAGGAATGCAATTGTCGCAGCTGCTGCTTTATTGCATTGATGTACGCTTAATGTACGTGTTTGACTTGGGGGAATAAAGATCGCAGACGAAATAGATTATATAAATTTCGGTATAAATTGGGAAGGCTATCTAAAAATTGGAGGTCCTTTCAGAATACAAATTTAACTAGAACTAATGCTTTGAAATCTTTGAGATTTTTAAATAACTTCTTAGAGTGTCCAAAAATATGCAATACAATTTTTCATTGCATACTTTGGGGCACCTGTATAAGTGATTTCAAACCCCATTTTCCCTAATTTTAAGTCAGTAATTCTGAATGCAGCTCTAGTAATCTTAAGCTCAATCTAAACTTTCTCGGCATCCATTTAAATGGAACATGTGCCTCCAGTGCAAATTACAACTCCATGTGTACTTAACAACCGGCCAGCAATTCCGAGTATCTCGAAGAATCTGAGTTTCCCTCGAAAACCCATTCAGTTTTGGCCTAATTAACAGCATATCTGCAGGGGATTAGGGTGCGCAATGGTTCTTGCATTCATTTCAGTCGTATTGTTTCAAAGGTTCCGTTGCCGTTGCCCCTTACAAAGGTACAAAAGGAGTTGGTACAACAGGCGAGTACAAAAAAAGAAAGGGTAAGGGTTTTCCGGGGGGCGTGGCTGTGGGCGGCTAAAAAAAAAGCTGAAACCAGCAGCTATTTGCTGTTGATGGCTGCCGAGTGCATGCAAATTGCCATCCAAAAGATGCAAAACATGTGCCCTCTGCGCCGGAGCTAAAGTTTCTGACCGAGTTGATTTGTATGCGCGATGCATCTGGCCAGTCTTCACCACCCAACCGCCCACTTCCTCCCACTTTTTTGTCGCTTTTTTCTCAGATGTTGTCCGAACGTTTTTGCCGGCAAACGGAAGAGGGAACAGAGCAGCGACTACAGAAGCATCTGCCATTCGGCATTAACAGTAGCTCCCTAAGCCACCCACCTCGGAACCGCCACCACCAAACCGCCATCGCACCACCACCACCACCACCCAATGCCCAAGGTCGCGACAGCCATTCACTTTGAGCTTTTGAATTTTCAAAAAGGGCTGCCAGCAAAAAACTGACATCATTTTGCGGATTCAGGTCTCATGTTGCGCGGCTAAGGCGCGAGTTTCGCTTCGAATTGTAAAGGGTTTTAAATGGCCACCACATGTTCGGTAGCGTTTACTCACAGATTAAAGTGAGCATCGGCCATGGTGGGCCGATGTCCCAGGGCCATCCTCAGAGCCAGTTCCGCCTCCTCGTATCTTCCTTGGGCACTGAGGACACTCCCCAGGTTGCCTAGAGCTGAAAAATATTTAAATATAATTTATTATCGACTTTTACATCTCTTTAATAACATAATTTAATTATTTATATTATAAATTTTTACATATATTACCCAAAACATTTACAAGAACAATTTATTATTGAACTTTGTACATTTTCATTTTATACCATTTTAGAACTGAATACTTTTGTTCACCATAGATTTTTACATCTACCATTATTAAACTATATGTTAAACAATCAAAAAATTAATATTATAAATAAAGATATTTTTTCTTGATTTTTAAAATAATAAAATAGTAAAGGTCATTTTAATCTCGATTAACTAATTGCTTTCACTAGCTTGTGGTAACAAAAGAAACAAAATGTAGGTTATAATGACTATGACTAAATACTAAGAACTTAAAAAATTTCAAAAAATATTAGAGATACACAAACCATTAAATTTATAATTTTAAAACAATCTTAAATTGCCACATTAAAATATAAAAGCTAAGACAGCAATAAAGCCACTCACCCTTTGGTGGATTCACGCCGATGGCACTGCGGAATAGCTGCTCCTCATCCCGCCAATCCAAGTTGCGTCTGCAGGTGCGAAGTCCGTGGATTCCAAGGAGCAGGCCCAGGCCGCAGAGGAGCATCGTCCTGGATCGCCTGGAGTCCTTCGCCCGCTGCCAGAGACTACCGAAACCGAGGCCAAAGAGCAGACAATAGCCCACGCTGGGCAGATAGAGCACCCTCTCGGCCATTACGAGTCCCACGTAGAAGAGCAGATTGCTGGCGGGCAGGAAAGGCAGCACCAGGAAGGCAATGGCCATAAAGGAAGCTGGCCAAGAGGAGCTTTTCGAGGAGGCGAAGGAGGAGGAGGATGAGGTGGATGCCGTGGAACGATAGCTGGGAGCGGATAGTTGATGGTGGCAATCGCAGGTGAGGCCCAGCCACTTTTGGCAGCTATTGCCACCTAATCGCCTCAAAAGCGGTAGCGAAATATTGGCCACCTCCGTAAAGTCCATCGATGAGGCTGAGCGGCGCAATCCAGAGCACTTCCACAGAACGGCCAACAAGGATCCGTAGAAACCAACACTCTGGATATTTCGGGCATCCCAAAGCGTTCTGATCCGCGGCACTGCCTCCATTCCCCAGTCGAAGCTTAGATCCTGTGGCCAGAGAAGCAGTCGAAAGTTGGCCACCGGCAGGTACAAAAAGGTGAGGGTCCTCGTCCAAAAACAGGACTCATGGGCCGTCGGATTGTCGGCGGCCGAAAAGGCGGTGGAGGGGCGTGGCAGCAGGCTGAGGCGGCAGTACACTGCGCACAATAGGCTAAATCCCAAAATTGTTAGCGATCGAATACGGTGCTGAAAATAAAAAGTATTTTAGAATGTAAAATTTGTCAACATTCATTTGAAGAATTTCTAGGAACATTTAGTAAAAGTATTTGTAAATTTTATCTCTTAAAAACAAGTTTTTTCTTGACTTATTACATTATTTCCAAAATTGCTATAAATATTAAAATTTTCCCATTTCTCATTTTTGAGTTTTTTCTTCTCTACACACAAAAAAAACTTTGTAAAATTAAGCAATATAATTGTCAAACAGTCCTTAACCACAAAAACGTTAAATTCTACCAATGAAGTAGATACTTTCACAACAACAAATTAGAAAAGCAAAGACACCCACCCAAAAAAAAAGACGTAACTATCCGTATAGGTCAATTTTACCAATCAAATTTTTTTGACAGGGGAAAATTTTCGTGATAAAAATTTTGTATGGAGATTTTCATTTCGTAGGCTTTTTGATTGAAGTGAGTACTAGGCCTAATACAATTAGTTAAATTATACCAAACCCTTATAAAAAGGTTCTTTCGCTCACCTTATCACCATTTTCCCGTCCAACTGCGGACAGGATGTCGCACAGTCCGCACAGCAGCAGTGCCGTAATGGCCGTCTCCTTGCAGAGCAGTGCAGCCAGCGCAAGGATAATGGTGAGGACCAGAGATCCCCACTCCCGATTCAGCATGTGCCGTCGGTAGGAAAGATAACTGAGCAGGTAGCAAACACAGGCGGCCAAATCCGCCCTGCCCACCAATCCGGCGACCGCCTCCGTGTGGGCGGGATGGGCGGCGAAAAGAGCTCCTGCGGCCAGGACTCCAATCCGAGTGGGCAGCAGTGTGCGCCCCACCAGGAACACCAGCCACGTGGCCACACAGTGGAGCAGAACGTTGACCAGGTGATAGCCCATGGGCGTAATCCCGCCAGCCAGGAAATTCAGCCGGAAGCTGAGCACGCACAGCGGTCGCCAGGAGCCATGGGATCCGCTGTCCACCAACGGAGTGCCCCAGAAGTCGTTCCGCAGAAGATGCGCCGCTGGGTGAAATCCTGTCACGTCTCCATTCGCCAAGATGGCGCGTCTGCAAGGATACAAGAAGAAATCATATTATATTTATGCTGGTACACTAAGAAAAATTTACCTAAGATACAAAAGTTATAAAAAATACGTCAACCATTTATTCAAGCCTTTCCTACACATTCAAACTCATTCAACTCATTTTGAACATTGTAAATTCGAATATAAATTTTTTATTTTTTAAAATTATATTTTAAAGTTAATAGGGTTTAGATCCATCCTTTTACTATTTATTTAAATCTAAAATATAATATTATCTTAAGTGTAGTATTTGATTATATTTTTAGTTAATTGGTTAATTAATTTTTTTTCAAAACAACTACTTGAGATTTTGTAATAATAAGCTATATTTAACGCAGATTTTTGTGGGTCGTTATTTCTTGTGTGTCCACGGCTCACATTACTTCGGTTGAGTATGGGCCTCGAACAACCTGTGGCACACCTGTCCAATTAATTAAAATGATTAATTGTACAGCCAGGACCTGGTCTATCTCCTCATTTCTCACACCTCCCATCTGCAGTGGCCCAAAGTGGCCGGATCTCCTCAACTTGACTCCTTTCGTCTCGACTTTCCTGCTACACGAAATCGGAGAGTCCTGAATCCTATATTCTATGGGACCACTTGTGCTTGCGCCTCTTGTCCTATTTATTTTGCTTTTACTAGGATTGGTTGAATCTTTGGGACAGAGTATGTTGATTATATATTGGGTTATTTGCATTAAAACATGAACAATAAAGAAGGATGGTTAAATATTTTAAAATATAAAAATAAAATAAAATTCTTAAATATGTTTTTATTAAATTTATTTTAAGTTTATGGTTTACAAGCTTATAAAATTTTAAGGAAGGGTATTTAATAGCTTGGTATTCCTAGTAATTTCATGTCTGCCCATTTTTATTGTCCTTTTGTTTTTGCACTCGGCATAAATATTGTTAAAGTGCCAAGCGACAGTTGACTCGCCAGCCCCGCCCCTTTTTCCGAGCTGCCGCCCTCCTCGTCCTTGCTGTTCACTTGCGGCTTGATTAATTGCCGATTTGTTGGCGTATTTTGTGCCTCTGTTGTAAAGCAGCACACACCGATATACATGTACATTGTCACAGGGATATACACCTATATCTGTGTACAAACAGGACCTGTGTCATTGTATATGGCGGACGGGTCCTTGGTAATTGCCTCGCCGTTGTAGCGCTCCTTGTTGGCCTAATCGATTTGGCCGGCACAGTGGCTCCGGGTCAGGTAGCCATATAATCAGGGTTAGTTTGTTATCGGCGTTGTTGCTCCTGTTTGCGGCAATTTATAGAGGGCTTGCAATAATACCCTGACCATTTTATGCATAATTAGTTTTTAGATGTACCCAGTAAATGTCATTAATTAACTTTCCAACTTTACCGAGGGCTTTTAGCTGAGTTTTCAGCAGAGTTTTGTCCCAGAAACAATATTGCATCAATATATTTATCAATGTCAACTGATTCGGTGACTTGAATTGCTCTCATTTTAAGAGAGTATAAATTACGTAATGTAGGCTTTAATTAATTAACGGTATTTGAAAGCAAAAGTTGAGATGAATTTTATAAACGTGTTTTTATTGGCAAGCCAAAATTTAAAATATTTGTATTTACCGTAAATATTTGCTTCTTAATGCTTGGAATATCCATTCAATATTTATTTGTTTGAACATTTTATTAAAATTCGTTTGATTTCCCTCACCTCAATGTACATTTTTTTGTTTGAAAGGTTATAGGTATCTTAGCATTTATAAATTGCATTTTAAATTTCAGCTCGTTAAATAATGAAGGAATATTTATTTTATCTTTTTTCTGCCTCTGGCTGTAGTTTTAGGGTCTTTTGGGGTATACGAAAGTTCAAAGGTTGTGCAAACAAATACATATCCGCCGATGCCTGGAGGGCTTTGAGAGGAGGGAAGAAAGTCCAAAGAAAAGTCAAATGCAAACACATAAGTTAGAGAGCATTTTGAATAAAAATTCGGTTTTCAATTTAATATTTTATTTATCATTCGAATTTGAATGCCATGGAATGGGTGACCGGAAATATGAATTGTGGCAAGGTTTATTGCACGAGTGTGTGCGTTCAGCGTTCAGCGTTCAGCTCTTTCAATGCCAGAAAAAGGTAATAAAGAAAGAGGATGTGCATGTGGTGCTGGAAGGTGGTGCCACAAATTGGGTTTACAAATTCGCCGCAGAGACGTGCCCAACTATAAGGCAGACTTATTGCCGAGAACCTGCGTCGGTGGTGCCTTGGTGCCTTTTTCTGTGAGTGCCATTCGGGTGTGGGAGCCCACTCATCTACACTTCAATTTCAATTGGCATTCCGAAGTATCCAGTCCCCCGTTACTTCCCCGTCCCCCAACCGATCCCTTTTAGTTTGCGCCAAAGCAGCCACAAAAATGTCGTCGAGAGCAAACAAATTCTTATCGGAAGAGCACAAAGCAAAAGCACAGAACGCAGATGAAGGAGCTGCTAAGTTGGAAAGTACTCGCATGCTATGCACAGTTGTGGGTAAAATACCATGGCGGTCTATCTTAGAATTACAACAGAATGTCTATGGATAGCTAAAAATATCAAATACGATTTTTCAGAAGTTTTCATAATATGCTTTTGCTTGAAAATTAGCTTAGAAAGGTACAAAACGTATTGTTGCATACTTTTCGACACCTTTGAAATATTTTTTAAAATATACTCAAATTGAGATTGGAGTATAGTTTGAGATGACTCTAAAACAAAAGGGGTTTTACTTACAATTTAAAATGAAATTACTTCTTTTGAACTGCATATTTTTAGTTCATTCCTAGTTATAAGGCCTAAAAACGTAGATCTTAATGTGATCCTAATCTTATGTCAGCTGCTGTTTTTGCCCGTGGGAAATTCTGGGCTAGTGCTTCTACTATTTTTGGGGCTGCAAGCGTTTTTCCAGCTTCCCGTAGAACATAAACGAACCGAAAATTGTTCTACGCCTCATTTGCAAGGCGGTGCCAAGGTAACGTTCAAATATTGAAAAGAAATTTCATTGCATACCTCGGGGCGGATGCACACAAAGCTTTCTATTTGCGGGTATTACGAATATGGGAGATGGGCTTAACTCCCGACGTGCTCGGGGTCTCCAAGTCACCTCCTCGAAGTCAGCGTCAACATTATCGTCATCAGCAGAATTTCCGCAGTTCCCTTTTTTGTGCTTTATCATCGTAACTAGTGAATGAATAGCAATAGCAAGGCCAACAACCAAAACATCAACACCCACCGACAGCGGAAGTGGCAACAACAACATGGGGTTGGGGGTGGTTGTGAGGGTTTAGGAGGTTCTGTAGGTAGCAACAACAACAACAACGACAATGGAAGGCTTCAAGCAGCTTACAAGTGCGGCATGTTGCTGCCGTTATCGTTCGCTTTTCACTCTCAACTCGAGCAGCAGGCCAAAGACAGGATCAGGATCCCGAGGATGAGGAGAAAGAGGAGCAGGAACCAAGTCTCAGGCAATCGAGGAGGAACAGCCAGCCGCAACACACACGATGCACAGTGGAAACAATTGGTTAAATGGTGTACTAAATAAAAAAATAGTCAACTTGGTAAAACATAAAAAAAGTAAAATAATTTTATACATTTTATAGCGACTTATTCAATAAAGAAATCTATTCATATAAAATTTTAGTAATTTCAGTAGTATATTTATGATATATTACAAATAATTAGGAAATATTTTAGACCTAACTTTACTTATCATGTTAATTTTTGGTGATACAGTTTTACGGCTTACTAATTGTTATCTTAAAGATACTTTGTCATCTATTTTAAATATCTTGCTAATGTTTAGTGGAAATAACAAAGATGACTGATTTTTTTAAAAAAATATATGATTAACATTTTAAAAATATTTAAAAATATTATATTTTATTTTAACCACCTAATCCACTGTGGGGCTCACATCAGCCGCACACACAAAAGCACGGACAGCCAAACAGGACTGTGGTTGGCTTTTGTTGAAGACAATATATCATAGCATCAGCACCGAATGTGGACACCATTCTTGCCTTCCGTTCTGTGCCCGGCCCTCCATTTTCCCCCCCAACCATTTTCCTGGCTACCCACAACATTTGTATTTGTTGCTGCCGTTGTGCTTATGTAAAGTGAAAATTTTCGATTTTATATAGGTAGGTACAAGAGAAAAAAGAGCACAAAATTCTGTTACTCTGGTTGCAAACAAACACCCACTCGACCGCCCATCCACCCATCGTTTGTGAAGAGTGCCTAGCGTCCGGTGGTTGTGTGCCATCAAAATTACGTATACGTAACGTTGTTACTGCTGTTGTTGATTTTTTACAGCCGCTGTTGCTGCTGTTTTGTTGTTGTCGCTGTCCTTTTAATACGGCACATAAATTATTGTAAGACTGCAGATTGGGGGATGTTTGGCAAGGTTTTTTTTTTTTTTTTTTGAAAAATGGAAATATATCAAGTTGAAGGTGTGAATCGGGTGACCAATAAAAGCAGGGCTATTAAAGATTCAAAATTCTCTTTAAAAAGTTTAGGCACACATATTATATACAACTTTCTATTAAATATAATAGAGTGAGCCACCAATCACACATAATTATATCCCATTAGTTCAATTATTGGCAAACTTCTTGATCACCACACTCCATCAAAAAGTTGCCAAGCATAACTTATTAAAATCACATATCTCTCTTTAACAATCGCCAACAACAGAGCCTCGGAGCTTCCCCTGTGCCAAAATAATTTCTTTCCCTTCACCAAGCGAAGCCATAGGTCTTTTTCCAGTTGATAGGAAACAAATTGAAGGGAATTCTGCCATTTAATAAATCATGTTTTGTCTGGCCCGGCTTGACAATAATAACTTGTGCTCGTGTGGTCACAGTGGCCATGTTGTGGGATGACCGCAGAGCATACGAAAGAACCGGCCGATAGGTAGGCTCCAGCACTGAACAAATCTAAAAGTGGCCTTTCGTGGAGTTTTTTTATAAAAAATTTTAAAGTAAACTAATGGATATGTATTAATAAAGAAGGGAATTTTATTTTTAAGTTTTTAAATTGACTTATTTTTGTATAAAAATTCATTTATTAAAAACTTTATACCCGTTACTCGTAGAGTAAAAGGGTATATTAGATTTGTGAAAAAATATTAAAAAAGGGAAAAAAAAGTTTTTTCCCCCCAATAAATAATTTTTTTTTTTATTAAAAATAATACCCAAGTAATTTTATCTATTTTCTTTTTTCCTTTTTTTCTTTTTTCCTTTTCTCTCTTTTTTTTTTTTTATGAAATCTGAGTTGGTTATTTATAAAGAACAAACAGATCTTTTATAGATTTTTTCTACGCAGCGCAATTTTTTCAAAATGGTGCCACGCCCTTAACGCCCACAATCGCTTATTTACGATTTTAAAAATTTTAGATATTTTGGAAAAGTAAAAATGAGTTTTATTGTGTTTATCAATACCTATCGAAATGTAGAAGAAATTTTTAAATCGGACCATTCGTTAAAAAGTTATGCGTGATCAACGTTTTCAATATATTTACCTGATAAGGTATCTGAAAATTGTATAACTTCTTTTGTTTTGAATTAAAGTTTTTACTAAATAGTTGGTATATTTCAAACATTTGCAAATGTAAACGAAATATTATTTTTATAAATTCGGTATTTTTTCTTACGGTGCTTAGGACCAAGGACCGGTTCCAACTGGTGTTGGCAACTGCGTGAAAGTGACCGCAGGACCTTCCGGCCGAGCAAAAAACATAAACTCGCATACAACTTTCGTGTGGCAAAAAGGGGAAGCTGAGTTACATAAGTTGCGTTTATTATTTGCCCGACTGTGTGTGTGTGTGTTTGTGAGTGTGGCGGTAAGTTTTGCGCTTGTTTTCTGGACAGCACAAAATAACGAGCTACAGCGAAGGCATCGAGCTGAGCACTTTGTGCATAACTTGCCCAGCCCACTCCCATTCTCCAACTCCGCCAGGACAATTGTACGCCGGCATTGTAGTTGAGCCAGGAGCAGAACAGGAGTCACTTGTTTGCCGGAATGGTCAGAAAGCTCACCGGGTTGACTCCTGAATCCTGGCTGCAAAGCTAGACCATTTGTGTGGGGGGCAGAAAGGGAGTGAAAAGAGGCGGAGGGCAAGTCCTTGGGGAAATTCCTGTCCATTGTACATGACTTTTGATATTTATGGGTAATTTCGTTTGCGTTTGCAGCATTTCAATGCGGCCAGGTGAGTGCGAGAAAGAAGGAGAAGCTGGGACTCGCCCAGCTCAGGGGCATAAATCAACATTTTGTTTTTTAATTTGCTCCATCGCTCCGTCGCCGTCTGATTCTGACTCTTACTGTGACTCTGACAATGGCACTGGATCTCGATCTCCAGCGTATATATATCAACAATGCCCAGGCGATAAGCCAGCAACTGGTCTGCTTCAAGTTTTACAATTAGGCGAGCCGAGAATTTATGATGGTGATTTTATCAAATAAATGGCGGCACTTGGCGCACAATTAATAATAAACTTTTGTATTTTTCGCTTGCCTTTTTTTTTGTCATTTTCGGCGACAAAACGTTGCTCCTGGCCATTGGCAGAACGGAGCGGAAAAGCCAAAGAACCAAGGACCAGACACCCAAACCAGACCAAACCAGACCATTTACCTTCGTCAACCTGCTGACATATGGAATTTTTAATTCGGTTAAATTTTTCTCACCTGTCATCGTAGACAAATCCAGCGTTAAGTGTGTTTAGGTACAGGACAAAAGCGAGTGCCGAGCAGCCGGCGAGTCCTGCGTAGTCCTTGTGGGAAAGAGCCGACGACATGCTGCAAGGGAGACAGAGACAGAGAGTTACAGTGAGTCAGACATTCAGACAGACAGAATATAAATATAAAAGTCGAGTGTCATAAAATATATGCTGAAATTCATTCTCGAAGCCTCCTCCTGCAGCAACGGCAAGAACAAAGCACTTAATCCTCACGGAGGCAGGTCCTCCGACTCGTCCAGATGGGCCATTTCCCATTCTCTGCGGCATTTTCGTTATGACAACATTTACATATTTTCCTTTTTTATCCTGCCGCTGTTGTTGTTTTCCTTCTTGCCGTTGCTGATGGCCTTAAGCACGATTTAATTACTTAATTTTTTTTGTTAGCAAATTCAAGGTGAGGCGTAAGGTGAAGGCGGCAAGGAATTTTTTGAATTTGTTTAAATACATTTGAAAGGGATTTTTGGAATTTTAATTATTTGGCCAGGAACTCATAAAATTTTATTTGTTGTTTAAAATTTCAAAAGGTTCATAAAATAAAAAAATGTTTGAATTAAATTTTAAAGATTTAACAAAACCACTAGGATTTGAAAATCATTTATAAATGTGCCTAAAAGTATGCCATAAAAAAGGGACATACATTTTAGTGTGGCACACTTTTAGTGACCTTTATAGTTGATTTTAAACCTTAAATGAACTCTTTGATAAGACATATGACTAATACTCGTATTCGATTGGTTAAACACCAGTTCATTAAGAATTAATTACCCTTATAGCAGACGCTTTCACCCAATAAACCCAGCTATTTTCGGCCATCGAACCCCTGTACAATCAGCAATCAAAACTGTTGAATGCAAACAAACCCTAATGCACGTGCCTAATGATTATTGCCGCAGTGGAGCAAAATGTCCGGAATCATCGTCCCCATCATCATCGTTGTTGTAGTTTCATTCATTGTGGTCAGCGTGTCTGCTCTGGCTGAACTCGTTTGTCATGGCATTCTTCGTTTTATATTAGCCGCAGACATGTTGTGTCTACGTGGAGGCCATCTATAGAGCCCCTTCCGAATCACCGACGCCCGCTGACGGAAATTAAATGTTACGACGACATTCTGGATCGTCCTGCCAGGCCGAACACAGAGCATGCAATACGGGAATACAGGCTCTGAAATGCAGAATACGGCAAAGGCATTCCCATTGTCCTGTTTGGGGGGATCTCCAACCCCAACACCAACCCCATTCCTCCGCATCATCTGCTCATCTGCTTTCGGTGGTGTTGGCCATGGCGGTGCTGTTGTCATCATCACCATCAGCGCCATTACGAATAATGAGTGTGGTCGGTGGCCCATCCACTCGGTGGGTGGATATTCGGACCAACTGCCTTGGTCAGGGCACGAAAATTGTTATCTCGCACATTGCAGACGATTTCCGGCAGGCATTTCGCCCACGTATGTACACAGCGAATGCGAATGCGACGGCGACGGCAACTGCGACTCTGATCCAGATTCGGATACGGATTGAGATTCTGATTCACATGATGGCAGCGGGAGGCGGTGGGATAACAGGAATTAAGTTCGCACCGTTTGCAAATGACAATGGTTATACAACGGCGGACTGCATTCAATGCACTGAGGTAAAATAGGATAATCCCATAAATTGTTAGAAAAAATTTTCATTTTAAACCCAGTTTGTAAAATATTTAATTGAGTTAAATTTAAAATACTTTTTTGTGGAAATTATCTTACTTTTGTCACTTGAGCATAATTTATATTTCTATAAGTCTATAATTATAATTGCCTTAACATTTATAAAATTGTTTTGGTATTTTTTTTTCCAAGTATGAAAACAGTATATTTTTGTAAATATTTATTAAATACACACACATTTGAAAATCATTTTATACTTTAGTCTCTAAGGCTGACAAAGGTTTTTCCCTTAGTTATCTGTCATCGCGACAATTTTGTTTGCTTTTCCTGTTCGTTGCTTTGAATTTCCTCAACTGTAGCACCTGTACAAATCTCCTTTAGTTCCAGATGAATTTTTGTTACTACCAAATTTGCGGTTTTATTCTTTTGGTCTTACGGTTATTAAAAACATATATTTAACTTAGAAAAATCTCTTTCTGAATAGGCCAACAATACGATATTTAATGATAAAATTCAAGTTTTCTAAGTAAACAGCTTCAATTAACAATCCAGTTAGGCATAGATCATAGATGCCCTATCAAGCCAAATTTCAAGCTCAAGTTCCAAGAGCCAAATTAGCTCGCATTCAATAATCTTTTCGGGCCCAGCCTCGCTTTTTGTTGTACCTATAAGCTGATGGAATCATAGCTTCTCCCAGTCCCACACACTTAATACTAACCCAACCACATCCTTTGACGGAGCAACCAGTACGCATACAAGAAGTCGCCCTCTTTTAGCTTCGCAATGACGCTGCTAATGAGCTCTAATAACGATAATGATGCCCACGCAAATAGTGAATATGAATACACATGCTCATATATGGGATACGTTTATATACACATCTTTGGAAGGGTCGGATGAATGGCCGTCATTTGCCGGCTATGATAATGGGCTCTCTGGCCCAGGGGATGCAACTGATTGGCATTGTCGAGGATGAAAGCGATAGTTTGCCGGAATATGCCTCTTAAATATAATGATTTCCCCAAAAATACCAAAGTGATTTTCGATGAAAATAGCTAAATGTTTTTGCCAACTCATCGGTATTAACATTTTGGGAACCCATCATAAATAGAAATGGCCTTCAAAAGGTAAAATTAGGCAGATTAATATACAGCCAGTAATAATCGAAGCAAAATACATTTCATTGGCATTAGGAACTATTTAAACATTTTATTTATTTATTTAAGAATTATAAACCTTTAATTGCCTTCAGGGAACTACATTGTTTTTGGTTGGCACTTATCATTTAAAATATGTCTGACTTTGTACCTAGCATTCTATTCCATTTTCCGCTAAAATATGTAAAACCAGTAGGTATCATAGATAGATTTAATTTAGGTATATACCTATATTACAAAAATTTAAATATTGCCTTCAGGGAACTTTTATGCTTTTATACATTTTTTTTATAAATAAAAATATTTTAATTATTAGGTCAATCAATTCATATAATCGCTTCTTCGTTATTTAGTTTCCTTAAAACAAATAAAACACAAAATCCTTTACCCATCTACAACCCGTAGCCGCAAAAGAACAAGTTAATTGAATCAATTTAAACATAATTCAAATGAAATTAAACATATATCCGCTACACAGACACGGGCTTACCGCTCCCCGGTTCTCTAATGACATCCCTTAAATCCCGTAATTCCCTGCCGATACTTTAAATAACCGCTTTAATTAAATTTATTGATTTTTGCATTTTAAGCTTTGCGTTTGTTGTCCCTGCAGACACGGCTCCTGGCTGTGTGGGCTCCTTTCGAAGTTGCGCGGCAAAGTTAACCCTGACAGACGCCGCCAGGTGTTGGGACAAAAGTTGAGAACAAAGCGCAGACAGGACCTCCTCAAGCAGTCCAATTAATTTCGATTGTCGAAAATAAAGCGAGACAATCACAGGACGACGAGCGGCAAGTATATATTAATCAAATGGCGCCAAAGACGAGGACAGCCGGAAGGCAGCGGGAAAGCGAGGGAAAGCGGGAAAAGCGAGCGAAACGAGGACATCGAGCACCCTCCAGACGTGTCCTGTCTGCTGACATGAAGAGGCCTCAAGGTCCTGACGAAAGGCTCCTCAGCTGGCGTCGCGAATTACTTTGCTAATTTTCCTGCGCCAGACGCGAGCCATCTGTCCTTGTATCTACAATGGAATTCGTATCGTGACGATGTATTTATACCCGGTACTTTTGGGTATATTGTATCAAAATAAACGTGAACTAATTTCAAGTGTGAAACTGCATCAGAAAGCTTTTAATATCACTTATTCTGGTGTCTAAAAGTATGCAAGAAAAATCACAAATAAATTGTTGCATACTGTTCGACACCTTTTTAAAGTGATTTATACTTATTGCTAGATTAATTCAATTTTAAAACAGCTCATACTGGGTATTTATTTGAACACCCACTATATTTGAGAAGAACCTAGTGAGTACAGAACTTCCCATAGTCGTGACTTTTTGTTTACGACGCCACTGTGTACGGAAAAGGACGCGCTCGAAAAGTCAAAGTGCAATTAGCAAGCTGCTCCCTTCTGTCGCTGGCTCCTTTTTATTTATCAGTGCAAATATTTATTTTCAATTTCGTATGCAAATGTCGCCGTCGAGCTTCCTCCATTAATCACAGCTGCACAGTCGGCGGTGCCGCGAGTGGGTGGAATGGAAAAAATAATTAGGTTGTCATGTTTACGGCGCTGAAATTAGCTGGCAGTATCGGAATGGCAAATCTTTGATGTTGATCTCTCGCGCAGGGCAAAAGAATTTGCAAAGGCGGAAATTTCCATGACTTTTCACTTTTTCACATTTTTGTTTTTTTTTGCAGCTTAAGAGCTGACCTTATTTCTGGCCCCAACTGGGGACAGACGGAAATTGCAGCAAAATACGAGAGTTCGAGTGCGGGAGAGCGCAGCACACCTTAAACCGGAAGCGGAAACATTATTCCCAAAATGTCAAAAAACATAACAGAAACCCATTAGACACACTTTGTTTCTGGGTCAGCCGGCAGACTTCCAACTTCCAAAAAGTGAAAACCCAGGCAGGCAGGCAGGCAAAAAGTCGAAACTGTCTGAAGGGGAGAGGCTGAAACAAAACGAGTTGGATTGGATGGGTGGGCGGATGTACGGAAACTGACCAGGCCACTCTCCCTCTCAATCTTCCTCGTTCTCTGCCTGAAAGCCCGGGTCGCACGGAAATCAAGTTGTGTCAACAGCTTAAAAGCCAAAATGTAATAAGCCAGGGAAATGTAATGTAATAAAATATCAAATATAAAATGGCGATGGTCCTGGCCGGGGGAGCATTTGTTGCCATTAAAGTTTTACTTTGAAATTGGAAGCAGAGGGCCTTGGAAAGTGGGTGGAAAAAGCGACGTCGCAACCAGCTGAGCAT